TTCCTTGCCACTGGTGACACCTTCTATACCATTGGGCATAGCTTTCGAGTTGGCTTTACAATAGTGAGTGCAATCGTAACCGAAGTCTGTGAAGCGATATGCAGACATATGGAGCATATATATTTACCAGAACCAACAGAGAATATATGGAAAAAATGTGCTGAAGAATTTGAAAATAGATGGGGATTTCCCAATTGCATTGGCAGCGTGGACGGTAAACATGTAACAATCAAGAGACCTAACAACAGTGGCTTCAATTACATAAATATTCAATAGTACTTATGGCCATTGTTGGCCCGGACTATAAATTTATATGTGTTGATATTGGTGGTTTCGGAAAAAATAGTGATGGGGGTATTTTCGAAACCTCAAACATGGGAAAACGATTTGAACAAAATTTAATGAGTGTCCCTGCACCTAGATTTCTCCCTGGGCAAAATGAAATCTGCTCGTACGTCTTAATTGGTGATGAAGCATTTGCTTTAAAACCATACCTTATGAGACCATTTCCTTATAAGCAGACTTCAACAGACGTCAGAAAAGAGAAATACAATGTAAGACTTTGTCGAGCTCGAAGGGTCGTGGAAAATGCGTTTGGTATTTTGTCTCAAAAATGGCGAATATTTTACAGGCCATTAGAAACTAAAGGAGATACTACTATTCTAATTGTACGTACGGCATGTGTTTTACACAATTTTTTACGAAGTAAAAGTGGCGATGACAAATATTTTCAATTCTTAGATCCCCAGAACCCGTGCTTGGAGCTTTTACTGATATAGCAAATGATCCTCGGCGGGCAGCAAGGCTAGCATTTTCTACTCGTGACAAATTCGTAAATTATTTTAATTCTGATATGCCTATGCCCAATATATAGAATGTTCGTTTTCACATTTGTGTAGACTGTAAATTATTTAACAAGTTAATAAAACATATTAGGTACATACCATTTGTATTTAATTCTTTTCCTATTTCCATCCAAATCTTGTCTTTCTTTCTCACATTCCTGTATCCATCGTTCGACAAATCATACAAACAAGGATACTTTCCCACTATTTCTATCAATAATTCCGTTTTTGCCATTGCGAATTTTTGAAGAACAGCGTCAAAAACGCGGTCAAAAGCGATTCTGGACACGAAACCGGGAGATGACTCGACCTGGTGCAAACTCGTGCAAAACTTCTAATGCTTCATAAGCAGTATCGCATGTGGCACCATTCTTCTGAAACCGTATGTCATTAAGAGCCGTGGCACAAAAACTGAGTGATCATCGCACGATAACGTTCGCCATTCACTGTTACGAGGGTTTAAGTTTTGCATATAGAAACATAGTAGGCCGCGCGGATCGAACGTCAGTACTGAATCTTAACCTCACACCTTAGTAAATTTAAATTCAAAGTTTCACAACAATACGGACAGTGTTCTCAATATAGTGAATTTTTAAGTGTCACCAAGTCATTAGAAAAATGGAACTCAACCGCCATAATTTATTACAACTTTCAGAGGCAATTATCGCAACAAGAATGCCTTGCTGAGTCACTGTCTATTTTCGGCAACGAAGCGCCATATCAGTCGACAATTTCCCGTTGGTATGGAGAATTCAAACGTCGACGGGTGAGTCTTAGCGACGATTCCAGGGTAGGTGCACCAAAAACGGCAGTCACCCAGGAAAACTTCGATGCTGTGCGCAAACTCAGCATTGAAGATATGCTGAGTGACATATAAATCCGAACACCAAGTTTAAATGGTTTTATTTTAATAAAAGTTGGTGAATGTATTTATCTTACTGTAAATAACAAGTGAAAAAATTTTCAGCCTTATCAGTTGGACATTCCGGTTTTTATACTGTTTTTTTTAAATTCACTAACGCTCTAAAAATGAATATTTCAGCCACAGTAAAGAATCAACGTTGGCGGATTTTGGTTCTTGACATCCTTTACGATCGGTTACGATGCCTAGAGTACGGAGACCTGTACGATTTCGTCAACTTAGTGAGTGGGACTTCGGGAAGCTGGACTTTCTTTTCTGGCAATTGCAGTTAGAGTGCAAAGAAGTGTAGACACTGTGGTTAGGTGTTGTCAGGCATGGCTTTGAGAAGGCCGTACGCAAAGAGCAAGTGGCACTGGACGCCGCCGTAGAACAACAGACCGTGAAGATCGCCGCCTAAGATTATTGACCTTAAGGGACCGTTTCTCCACTACCAGGTCCATTGCAAATGAATGGTTTGCAGAACACGGAAGACCTATTGGCATGCGAAGTGTTTGCCGACCAATGAGAAGTTTTGGCTTGTTTTTCATACCGGCCACACTGGGTCCGCCCTTTAAATCGAGAACACCGACGTAATCGCATTGAGTGGTGCAGATAACGGTCACTCTGGGATCAGGAACGGAATAGTATTGTCTTTAGTGACGAGTCTTGATTTTGTTTAGGCATGCACGATGGTCGTGCCAGGGTTAGAAGGCGACGTGGTGAAAGGAGGAATCCACAGTTTTTTGTTGAAAGACATGTTCATCACACTGTTGGAGTTATGGTTTGGGGTGTTATAGCTTATGGTTCCAGGTCACCTTTAATCTTCATCAGAGGTAACATGAACGCGCAGCGTTATATTCACGAAGTTCTAGAACCCCATCTTTTACCCTATCTTGACACCCTGGCAGATCCAACTTTCCAACAAGATAATGCCCGACCACATGTTACAAGAGTCACAATAGACTTCTTTCAACATAATGATGTCACATTGTTATCATGACCACCAAGATTTCCCGACTTATCCCCAATTGAGCACGTGTGGGATATGATGGGTAGGAGATTGCTCAATTTGCAACGTCCTCCTCAGACCCTAGAAGCACTTCGAGAGGAGTTGGTGGTTGCCTGGAATGAGATACCACAGGGGGACATTGAACACCTCATCAGAAGCATGCCTAGGCGCGTTGGAGAATGCGTATCACATCAGGGTGCATCCACACATTATTAAAGATCAAAGGGCTTTAAATCAGTGCAATCATTTTGAAATTTTTATCATTTGCTTTGCATTATGCTTCATTAAGTACTTATACAAAATTTTATTAAAATGAAACCATTTAAACTGGTGTTCGGATTTATATGTCACTTAGTATAGACATGTGACATATCGCGAGATTGAGGCGTCCTTGAGGATCTCAAAGACCTCAATTCAAAAAATTTTACATGAAGAATTAGGAGTAAGAAAATTAGTTTCTCGTTGCATACCCCAGCTGTTGACTGAAGAGCAGAAAGCAGCCAGGGTTAATTGGTGTCAAAAAACGCTGGAACGTTTCAATTCCAGAAACTCAAAAATGTGTACAGCATTGTTAGTGGTGATGAATTGTGGATTTACTGTTATGAACCAGAAAATAAACTACAGTCGGCTGTTTTCGTGTTCCAAGGTGAAGAAAAGCCAACAAAAGTCATCCATTCTCGAAGTGTTTCATAAAATATGGTCGCGACATTTGTGTCAAAAGCGGGTCATATTGCAACAATTCCTCTTAACGAGCAAAGAACTGTTATTGCGGATTGGTATACCACCATTTGTTTGCCAAAAGTCATCACCGAGCTTTGAAACATCAACCCCGGAAGAAGAATCATCCTCCACTAAGACAATGCAAGCTCGCACACAGTCCAAAAAACAAGGCAGTTTTTAACGGAAGAAAACGTGGAATTATTGTACCATCCTCCATATAGTCCCGATCTAAGTCCTAACGATTTCTTTACTTTCCCGAAAATTAAAAACAGACTGCGTGCTTAAAGGTTCCAGTCACCAGAAGAAGCAGTTGACGCATTGAAAAATGCCGTTTTGGATCTGCCAGCAAACGAGTGGAGACTACTCCGAAAAACAATAAAGTCATTTAAAACTACCTACCGTGTTGTTTTATTTCCATATGCAAAACTTAAAAGACTAGTGGACTACCCGCCTTGTCCTTAAAGAAAAACCAATAATTCCTCCAGACCATAGTGCACACCAAACAGTGACACGTTTTGAATTCGTAGCTTTCTTATGAATTACTGTTGGATTCTCTGCGCCCTAAATGCGACAGTTTTGTATATTGACGAAGCCGTCGAGATGAAAACGGGCCTCATCGCTAAAAATGATTTTGTCTACAATATCACAATTCACATACTGTTGGCCAATGATCCAATTGCTAAACTCTCTTCGCTGTGCATAGTCTGTTGGCATAAGCTGTTGAGTCAATTGGACTTGTAGGCACGCAGGTGTAAATCTTTCGTTACAATACAAGTTATGGAATCCTGATGATTACCATTTCAACTAACACTAACACCGTCCCGATGCCCTTGTGATTAGCGCCGTCCATCCGGTTTCTAGTTACAGCGTTAGGTGTTATCTTTGTGAGAACATTCCTGACTTTGCATTTTGCTATGTTTTACTTCTTATAAACTGAATATGAAATGTAACTAGCGGTGTTATCATCCTGTTTTCATCCAATAAAGTTCCTGCTATAGTTTCGAACCGAAACCACACCGAGTTTCATTTCTGGCGCTGCGAACAGGATCCCAGGCTTGGTTTCTGTCACCATTGTGAGAAATATCTAATAGACGAGCTGTCCAGCGGTGTCTCCGAGAAAGCCAAAGAGTGAGTTCCTGAGAAAACTGAAGTTAGTACCAGCGAAAGCCAAGAGTTAGTATCAGACGTCGGGAAGGCCCTCCTGTTCTACTTGGACTCTTCGAGTGCCAATATCAAGTAAGAATTCCTATTCTCTTACTGGGAATTCTACCAAAAACTGCCCAGAACCATTGATTTGGAATCGAAGACAAGATGACCAGCCCCTGGATGAAGCAACAATTGATGTTACTGTCCTTGTAAGTAGTTAAGAATTACTATTAAGAAGATTCTGCAACTAAGAAGATTTAATACGTAACCATAAGAATTTATCAAAAAACTCATTTCTACAGAGAAGGTTTTTTTTTGAAGAATCCAAGTTTGCGTTTTTCAATTGAAATCTAATTTTGTGCATAGCTTTAAGTTTTGTTTTCACCTATTTCTGCTAGAATTTTTATCTTGCATCTTTTATACATTTTATTTTATGCCTTTTGTTAATCGTTTTGTGCCTACCGAAAGAGAAGGATCCCCTATAAGAATGGCTACTTCAAATCAACAGAATGTCGTTCAGCATGACAATCCCTAATTAATTTTTAACATGCTAAAAGAGTCAATTCCTATATTTGATGGCTATTCAAACAATCTTTCTACATTTTTAAGAAAGTCTACAGAATTTTATAACGCTTTACCTATTTCCTATAAAGGACATGCTTTAACATTTATTAAGTCTAGATTACAAGGTGAGCCTGCCGAATTTACAGAACAAACTAATCCTATTAGTATTGAACATCTTTCTGCTATTTTAACCACTAGATTTAAAGATTACCAAACTGAAGAAAATTTGACTCGTCACCTTTTTGATATTCATTCCCCAGACTATAGCATTTTACATTCAGAAATTTGTAACAAACTTCATGAAATACGAGAATTTGCTCGATTAAATTATCCTCCAGAAATTGCCCCAGCAATGATTGCTGGATATGAACAGATGGTTTTAACCTCCTTTTTATGCGGAATCAATTCCAAATATCATTGCGTTGCATTACAACCACCCTCTAAAAATATAGATGAAGCTAAGAGACGGTGCCAAGAACACGACAACCTTTTGCAACCCATACAACAGATACGTTTAGGTAATGCATTAACCTCACTGATATTTCACATACCATGCAAATGTTTTCTTACCTAATTGAATTACATAATAAAATTCCCACCAGCTTAGATAATCAGTTTCAAAATTTATACGAAGACAGTTATTCCAAGTTCGAAACTTTAACACACCATAAAATCAAACGCGGACTTATAAACGGTTTAGGTTATATAATTCGTTTTATTTCTGGCAACCTTGATCAAAACGATTTAGATCTTATTTTGAAAAATCAGAACGCTTTACGAAATAACCAGAATAGCTTGCTTGAAAGTCATCAGAAAACTATCACGTTTTGCAAATCTCTTCAAGAAACTTTTGAAAATAATACAAGAAGAATTCAGTCAAGTATTATTCATAATGTCCAAATTATTGAACATCAGTCTTTGTTATCACACCAGACGATCCATCAGATCTCAATTATTACAAATTTGCAACGATTTAATTCATATCTAAATTCACTTTTATTAGTTCTACAATTGAACCAGCAAACAGGTCTCGACACCTTACAATTATCTCATCATCAGATTACCTTACTTATTGAACATTTAAAATCCATTTATAAAGACGAAGAATTATTGCCATTCGACAAAATACATTTATTTGAGATTTATGATCTTTCCCTTTTATAACTTATACTTTTAGAAAACCAACTTATTTTTGTAGTTGAGTTTCCCATTTTAGATGTTAGAACTGATTCCTTATTCAAGTTATTTTCAATCACAGTCAAAAAAGAATTAGTAAAATTACCAAGTGATTATATTTTATACTTTGAAAAGTATTATTATTGCAAAAATATTATAGAGTTAAGCAATCAGCTGTATGTTTGCACGAATACTTTCCAGTCGCCATGTCAACCACTTAAGTTAGACACCTGTGAGTCTGAAGGTCTAGTAAACTACACGCGAATCCTAGAATTAAGTAAGAACAATTATGTAATCGACACTAATGTTTTAACAAAAATCAAGGATTGTAAAGGAATCCATCATATTCATTTTACTACTCACATAATTTTAGAATGTCATACATTTATTAATGATCAAATATTGAATTATGAAATTGAATTAGAATTATCCTTCAGAGGTGACAACGATAAATATTCATTTAAGAAAACAAACACTTCACTCGAATCTTATTTCGAAAAAAATCTCACTTCACTTCAAGTTCATTTTGAAGATTTACAGTTTCATTCTACTATAAGTTATCCTGTTATTTTTACTACTGTAATTATTTTATTGGTTTTATTTATAACAATTTTTGTTAGATACCGTTATGTAAAGGATACTAAAACTCCACCTCAAAGTAGATATTTAAGAAACTTCTCCTTCAAATTGAAAGTTCAAATCATTTTTTGAGATTGGAGACCAATCTTTCCGAGGAGGGAGGAGTTATGGAATCCTGATGATTACCATTTCAACGGTACGGCTAACACCGTCCCGATGCCCTTGTGATTAGCAACGTCCATCCGGTTTCTACAGTATATTCAGATAAGAGATAGACCGGACATAAACAAGACCACGTGATCATCGAACGCTGTAACATTCGGCAGGGACGTATTAAGAGTCACGCAGTACATATATTTTAGATAGTAGATGCTGCTTTGCGTAACTCTGTAGTAAATTAGCACAATTCGATGTGTATACGATTGGTGATGGATATAGGATCATGTGGGGGTGGGGTAAGAAATATATAATGATGTAAATATACATAAGGGTTTCAAAATTTTCGCTACGATTTCCAGCTTCGGATGCCGCCTGATGTTTGGTGAAATACAGTCGAATACAATCTCAAAATGGCGTTTAAATTAGCCTAAATTAAAAATAATCGTATATCTCTTAAAATTGCTTTTAGAATATTGATTAGTATATTTTTTGATTTCTAGGTAAATATGTAACCAAATTAAAACGTTCAAAACGTAAAAAAATGTGCATGGTTGAACATTGTCAAAAAGTAGATTCTTGAATAGGTTTTGCCAAAATGGGTTCAAAAATGTCAATAATTAATTAAAAAATACAGTAGCTTTATAATTACTTATAACTTACCGAATTTGATGAACGACATCTTTTATTGGAAAGATGAGCTTGATGAGCTTTCATCATCGCTACTTCCTGAAGCACCAACGTCAATAATGAATGGCTCGACTTGTTCCTCTAAAATGTTGTCCAGTTCCCACACTCTCTTTTCAACTTTGTCTTTCACGTGCTTAATACAGTTTTGCCCATTTTTGCGCTGTTATTAATTCTAGTGCTTCTTTGAAAAGTCCTTTGAGGTCACAAAATTTAAAAGCTGTATTGTGCTTAGCTATATAATTTTTAACCTCTGCCCATATGAGCTCAATGGGATTGAGCTCGCAATGGTATGGAGGTAAACGTAGCACAGTTTTATTTTGACTTGCTGCCATTTCGTCAATGGCGTATTTTTGATATTCCGCCTTGTGATCCTTGACAATTCTTAATAATTGTACTTTCAGCATTGCTTCTTCAAAGTTGATATTTTTCGAGCGGAGCCAATTTTGAACATCAACTTTCCTTGAAGCCGTTGTTGGGACCTTCTCCATTCTTCGAGAATGATAAGGCGCATTATCCAACACAATTACTGCGTTTTCCTCTAAGTTCGGTAAAATTTTTGAAAACCACTGTTCAAACGATTCGCCATTCATTTCCTCGTGGTAATTTCCAGTTTTCTTAGACTCAAAGCACCACATACCGTCAACAACAAATCCATCCTCACTGCCAATATGGCAGATAATGAGCCTTTTCCCTTTACCTGGAAATCGAAGTACTAACTGGTGTAGATTTATTTCAATAAGCGAACCTTTTTCAAATGTTTTCATCACATTCAGCGAAAAAACATTGAGACATGAGTATCAGATTGCTATAATTGGGATTATTTAGTCATATTGAAAGAAAGAATATTGAACGTCGTATGATTACTCAGCGCTTCACAATTTAATTTAAAGTTATAAACCTTTAAAAAATGAATGATCAGGAACCTGAAATACGCGCAAATATTAATATTAACAAATTATAACTTTATAAAGCTTAAAGTATGAATTAAAATGATTAGAAGTATTAGGAACGGTACACAATATAAAACTTAGTAACTCTTTTTAAGTTTATAATATTCGACATATTTTAAGATTATATTAAACAATTATTGAAATATCGAAAACACATAAAAACATGGCTTAAAAAAGTTCTAACAAATGAAAATGACAATAAAACATCCACGCATTTTATCGAAAGTTATAAAAGTTTTGTTACTTGTAATATGTTTTATCTGCCCCCTGGAATTAATGTTTAGAACCTTGTTCCCAAGGTTAGAAAAACATCCGATTGTTGTCTATTACTCGTATTTACCTGCTGGATTTTTTTATCTGGTGGACAGTCCATCTAGAAAGGCCCTCCTGGATGAAGTTACAGAATCATCAACCCATACTTTACTTGTAGTGTGTCCTGCGTTTACCCACGTTTCATCAAGGTGATAAATCTTCCTGTTTTGATTTCTATATTTCCCAATTTTTGTTAAATAATCCCTCCTCCATAGCACAATTTCTTCTCTATCCAGTAGTAAACTATTACGACCCCGTTTTTTCCATTTGAAATTTAAATGCTTCAGTAACACATGGAAAGTTGATCGTTTGAAATTTGGCAACGTTGTATCTCCATTTACCTCCTGCAGTACTTTATCTATAGTAGGTATTTCATTCCTAAAGAAGAATTCATGCACTTTCCTCCTAATCGCATGCTTATCAGCTTCATCCAATGATTTAACAATACTTTTGCGATGTTTACTGGTCATTGGCTCAGAAAAGGTGGGATTTTTTTTGTATTGTCTTAACACATTAAACACTGATGCGCGACACACCCCAACTTTGTGAGAAACCTTCACAACAATTTGTTTGATGGTTGATGCCTCGTTCTCCTCGCGCTCAATCTTATATATATTCAAAATGACCTGTTTCATTTCTGCACTCAGGTGTCTTTTTTTAGAGCGTTTCCTAGGTGGACTACAGGAGTTTACAACTTCATCGGCAGTATCTGTACTACTGGGCATTTTGCGCAAGCAGTTGATAACAATAACAATCAATAACAAGGTATAACAATAACAACGACAAACTCAACAACTTAATAAGATAACAAACGAAAACGTCCAAAGAAATATCAAACTGCAATGATGCACACGACATACGTAACACGTCTGAACCTGAATGTGACTCTGTCTTGATACGACTGCTCTGCCGCTCGGCATAGGCATTTAATTGCGAATTGACCAATGAGGGCTCCTGTTTTACGTCGAGACGGCGGCGCTAGCGTGAAAATCACCCGAACCTTTTGCTTACATCCGGTCTATCTCTTATCTGAATATACTGTAGTTACAGCGTTAGGTGTTATCTTTGTGAGAACATTCCTGACTTTGCATTTTGCTATATTTTACTTCTTATAAACTGAATATGAAATGTAACTAGCGTTGTTGTCATCCTGTTTTCATCCAATAAAGTTCCTGCTGTAGTTTCGGACCGAAACCACACTGAGTTTCATTTCTTACACTGGGGAGTGGCTGTTTTAATGTCCAATTCTTGAGCGCGATGACGAATCTACGTCCCTGGACCACTGCGAGCTCGTCTCGTATGTTTCACATCATTAAAAGAACCAGTACTTCAACATTTTTGGATAATCCTTTTTACAGTGGATGGGGTAGGAACATTATTCCGACCGAATATTACATGCACTTTTCGAATCGTGGCAAGAAAACTTTCACCAATTTGGTAATAATTTTCAACAATTAGGATACGCTGTTCTATTGCGTAATAATTCATTTTCGTTAGCTCCCGCCTGTCTACTATCGATCTGTCATGTGAGAATCATTATGACATTATTACTGCCAAAATGGCGCTAAATTCCAATATTGCGTTCTTATTGATACACCCCTTAATGTTCATCCAAAAACAAGGCCATGAACAATTGACTGAACACAACTACAACATGAAAAAAAGAAGTTGGTGATGGTAGTCGAAAGAGTAAATCTCGAACTGAAAAATTGACTGCGTCATTTTGTAGAGGAGAATTAGTAGTAATGACAACATGTAGTTTGTTTTGAAATCTTATCTTAAATAAGGTCAAGAAAAAATAAAAGTGGCTTTGGGATAAATCTGCTAGAGATGAGATAAATGACTATCTGATAATTTCGAGGCCTACTAATTAAGCATTTGTATTTGTATAAAATTACAGACCGCTTATTCTTTAACAAACATCGAGTAAATTTGCAATTTACCTTA